CATTGATATCTAATCCATACTTGATGGTACCATTGTAAATCGAGCATAGCCATATATGCATGGAGGGTCACTTGAAATTACGCTTAAATATACGCTTAATCTGAACAAATAAAAAAAAAGATTTTTGAAAATTATATATTAAAAACCACCTAATATTTCAAGGATAAATTACATACAAACCTAATATTTCAAGGATACATACAAACCTAATATTTCAAGGATATATACAATCCTAATATTTCAAGGATACATACAAACCTAATATTTCATGAATATATACAATCCTAATATTTCAAGGATATATTACATACAATCCTAATATTTCAAGGATACATACAATCCTAATATTTCAAGGATATATACAAACATAATATTTCAAGGATACACACAAACCTAATATTTCAATGATATATACAATCCTAATATTTCAAGGATACATTACATACAATCCTAATATTTCAAGGATACATACAATCCTAATATTTCAAGGATACAAACAAACCTAATATTTCATTGATATATACAAACCTAATATTTCAGGTAAACATTACATACAAACCTAGTATTTCAAGGATACATAAAACAAAATATTTCAAGGATACATACAAACCTAATATTTCAAGGATACATACAAACCTAATATTTCAAGGATAAATACAATCCTTAATATTTCAAGGATACATAAAAATATTTCAAGGATACATACAAACCTAATATTTCAAGGATACATACAAACCAAATATTTCAAGGATACATACAATCCTAATATTTCAAGGATATATACAAACCTAATATTTCAAGGATACATTACATACAAACCTAATATTTCAAGGATACATACAATCCTAATATTTCAAGAATACAGACAAACCTAATATTTCAAGGATACATTACATACAAACCTAATATTTCAAGGATAAATACAAACCTAATATTTCAAGGATACATACAATCTTAATATTTCAAGGATACATTACATACAAACCTAATATTTCAAAGATACAAACAAACCTAATATTTCAAGGATACATTACATGACATCCTAATATTTCAAGGATATATACAATCCTAATATTTCAAGGATATATATAAGCCTAATATTTCAAGGATACATACAAACGTAGTATTTCAAGGATACATACCAACCTAATACTTCAAGGATACATACAAACTTAATATTTCAAGGATACATACCAACCTAATATTTCAAGAATAAATACAAACCTAATATTTTAAGGATAAATACAACAAACCTAATATTTCGTGGATAAATACAAACCTAATATTTCAAGGATACATACAATCCTAATATTTCAAGGATACATTACATACAAACCTAATATTTCAAAGATACAAACAAACCTAATATTTCAAGGATACATACAAACCTAATATTTCAAGGATATATACAAACCTAATATTTCAAGGATACATACAAACCTAGTATGTCAAGGATACATACAAACCTAATATTTCAAGGATACATACAAACCTAATATTTCAAGGATACATACAAACCTAATATGTCAAGAATACATACAAACCTAATATTTCAAGGATACATACAAACATTTTTTTCTTTTTTCTGTTTCGTTTAATATTTGAAATAAAACATAACATTTTTAAAATAGTAAAATAAGTTATCCATTTGATTTAACACAGTGCACAGCGAAGCAGAAAATGCATTTATAATACAATATTTTAACTAAACAATTCACTATAAAAAACCGAAATATATTGAATAAAATTAATGATTTTGTATCAGTAATTCCGAAACCCAATTTCAGTTAATTCTCATCTATATACATATATATGTTAATAATTGGGGTCACTCTACTAAAGTGACTTGTTTACTTCTATAAAATGCAGGAAAACATATTGGAACTTAACATTTTTAATAGAATTGAGAAACAACAATTTCTTCCACATTATTGATCTGATAAAGGTTTCAACGGTACCGTTGTGAATCAGGTAATACCATCTTTGCATTGGAAATTACGCAGACAATATCTTTAACAATTTACAATGTACTTTATAATCTTAATGCATAATTTCTTTTCGTGCAGAAACGTAAAAACTGAAATTTAATTGGACGAAAATTTAAGTGATGATAGAGTCAACTTATTTCAATGAAAAGTGGTTAGGCTAAATCCTAATCAAATTCGAATTTGATCGCAACTAAATTTTCTTCCATCTGATTTGTCTACACATGAGAAAATATGGTTGGAAATGGTCAAGACCCAAGATTAAAGAGCCCATTTTAATTCACATGGTTTAATTATTTCACTCAAATTGTAATTAATAAAATTAGATTTAAAACGAATCCTTTAAAAAGTACAATATGAATTAAGAAAATTTAATGAATATTTTTAATGCAGTTTACATATCGTAATATTTTTTTGTTTATATATGATGTAATTATAATTAATTGGCCCCTTCGCAGATAAATCTGTGAGATGAAGGTGGCTCGGGCGAAATCTATAAATTGAAAGAAAGAAAAAAGGATGGTAACAATAAAATTATTTCATAATATTTCCCCCTTTACAAATATAAATCTACCTTTCTTTTAAAATATTCTGTTTTTCTGGATTTTATTTTAAAAATAAAAGTTTCTCGGTAAAATTAATTTCCATCATGATTCTTCAGTTTAAATAGATTAGGCTTTTAAACAATTTTACTCTTTTTACCATGTTTTTAACTTTTTACATTAATCTTCTACTATCAGGGACGTACAAAAGGTTTACAGTTTGGGACTAGGGTTGTTAATCCTTTTTAAAAACGATCTTTTTCTTAAACGATAGTTTTTGATAACGACAGTTTTTTTCTATTTTGTTAACGAAACGATTGGTTGTCAATCCCTACTTAGGACTGTTCTGGGGCAACGATTTTTCCCTACTTGGGACTGCACTGGAGCAACGATCTTTCCCTACTTGGGACTGCACTGGAGCAACGATCTTTCCCTACTTGGGACTGCATTGGGGCAACGATCTTTCCCTACTTGGGACTGCACTGGGGCAACGATCTTTCCCTACTTGGGACTGCACTGGGGCAACGATCTTTCCCTACTTGGGACTGCACTGGGGCAACGATCTTTCCCTACTTGGGACTGCACTGGGGCAACGATCTTTCCCTACTTGGGACTGCACTGGGGCAACGATCTTTCCCTACTTGGGACTGCACTGGGGCAACGATCTTTCCCTACTTGGGACTGCACTGGGGCAACGATCCAACATTTTTGAAAACCAACAAAATTGTTCGTGAATGATGGTGTAGTTTAGAGGAAAGGAACCATACGATCTTGATCGTTCATGAAAGATTTCTAAGTTGTTTGAGCGTTTGATTTCTGTATTAAACTACCAAATTATCCGTCAGAATTTTTTTTTTACTGACGGAAAATTTGTTTAACAAATTTTTGAAAAAAAAACTAAAGTTTTTATTCTGACAGGACGATCTAATTGAAGGAACGATTTTACTAAACGATCGTTCAGTGAGAAAAGAAAAGAAAAAGATGGAAAATGAACGATAATTTTGAAAAGAAAAAAAATCATTTTTGTTTAATGATTAAAAAAAAAACACGAACGAAATGTGTCGTTCACGAAAAATGAACGGACAAAATGAAAAAAACGAACGCGCCCATCTCTAGCAATGGAGGCGCAGTAAGAGTGAGAACAAATTTTAAGATAAATATCACTCATTTTTAAATGTTCTAGCTACAATTAAATTTTGTATAGGCTATTAAGTATTCCATGCTAAGCTAATAAAAACAATTTTAAAACATAAAAATACATAACATTCATTTTTGTTTCATGAAAAATATCTGATATAGGAATTATTTGTTGTAATATACATTTTTCATAAATAAATCATTAAATAGTTTTTCTTACTCAGTGGGGTTTCCACCAAAATACCATTTTTATGTAATTTTGCGCAACTTTATTTGTGTTTTGCACAAAGTTTTGCGCGGAATTTTGCACGACAATGATTTCAGAAAAAAAGAGACAGCCCAAACATTAGCTTTAGGCCATTGGAAGCAAATATTTTGCGGAGAAAAGGAATTTGTGCAATTTGTGTAAAAGAACTTTTGCAGAAAAACTGCACACAACGCTTTACATGGGACATTTTGATTGCAAGGTTGGTAAAATTGCAGAAACCAAAAATGTAGATATACTCATTATGCAATTTGAACTCGAGGATTTCTTACTCCTGCTTTAAAGCCTAAAATTGATAGTTGAAAAAAAAACATTCAAAAAATAACCACCATTCTCTTGTTGCCTGTTCTAGATACGTTCTTTTCAAATAAACTGAAGAATAACTTTAAGGAACAAGAAGCTAAATCGTGCAGGGTGTCCCAATAAACATGGGAATTGAGAGACGTCTTGAAAGTCGTCTTTGATTTCTGATATCTAAGGCATGGCAAAGAAAGTAAGAAAACGAGGCTGTACGTCTTAAAACGAGCTTTTCATAAACCTTTCTTGTGTCTTAAAAACTGACGAATATCTTAGACATAAAGACAATTTTGATTTATTAAATAAATGGAAATTTTAAATTCTGCAATATCTCCGTTAATTTTGAAGATGCAAAAATGGTAGACCACATTTTGAAAATCGACCAGGTGTTTTCGATATTAGATGTTTAAGCTATAATACTGCAATAATTGTGTTCATGAAAAAAAGCCACATGGTACGAAGACGATATCAAAGCGGTCCTCTAATTCCCATGTTTATTGGGACTTGCACATTTCTACTGAAGAAAAACAGATCGGAAATATCAGATTAAACACTTTTTTAAACTTGAAAAAGTACAATATCTTCCACAATACTGATCATGGAAAGGTTTCAATGGTATGGCTGTGAATCAGGCATTGCCATCTTTGCAAGTCCAGGATCTCTTGAAATTACACTCACTGCAGTCATTTTAAGATTATATTGAAAAAACAGAATCTTGTTAACATTCAATTTAAAATCAAATAAATTTTATTCATTTAGAAATACGCCTGTATGGATGTTTCTAACGCCAATATATTTAATCCCTTTATGTTCTAGCGAATATAATTGTAGCTTTAGTAAAAGGTTTCCCATCAATCTCCACATCCATATGGGCCAACTCCTTTCCAACAACAACTTTGTAGTTAAACATGTTCTCTCCCATCTTAACTGTGCCGTACATTCCATCCCTGCTCAGATTAAATATTTCAGTAACGTTCATTCCCATCATCTGAGAGGAGTGGTCTATGCCTGGGATAAGATGCTTTGACTCCATAGGAAGCACTTTTGAAGATGAAGCAGCAAGCCAAACCTCTTTTCCAAGATGTTTCCAGGTCAGGGTTTCTCTTTCCTCTACAGCATCCTGGATCACTGACTCCGGGAGACCAAGACCACGGAGGAAGTTGTCATAGTTGGAGTGAGTCATGACTTTCCAAGTACCGTCAATATCTCCACATCGCTGATATGTAATGCTACACTTGACACCATGAGAAGCCTTCTCTGCAGTCCATGTTAGAGTATCTGTGGTGGCTAAAGCTCTCCAAACGGTAACACTTCCCGAACCCTTATCTTTAAAAGTGTATACGAGTTCAGACAGGGAATTACTAGTGAACAAATGGGTTCCATTGATCCCCAAATGATAATTTTCCTCGGCAAACTCTACACCAAGATTGAAACTAATACTCTTGTTTGTTCCATTTCCAAGGAAATCAGCCATTTCATACTTTCCACCCTTCTCGGTTATTCTAACTGCCAGAAAAGACAGAAGTGTCTCTGCTTCAGCTTTTGACATCTTGTTATCAGCCACCATATAATTCTCAGCATTAACATGGTTCTGCATGACAAAGTAACCACAGAAGGAAGCATTAACCCTCTCCCAGATACTTGTAGAGATATACCCATCCCTTGTTGATGACATCTTGATTGAGACACCAAAGCCAGACACAATTGTTTCATAGGTGTACACAACATCTGGAAATGTCATGGTCTTAACAATTACATTTCCATTTCTTGTGACAAGAGATTTCCCTCCGACGAGTGGAGGGGGAAGCTCATGTTCCTTCCCATAGGAGTATTCAAAGCTGGTGTTAAACTCAGGTTTCTGGCTGAATGAAACTCTGCTATTGTAACCAGTACAAAAGTCAGATATGGTAAAGCTCATGCAGTTGTCAGATGACAGCAGGGTGTTAAGGTCCTCTTCAGAAATCAGGTTGTTGAACACAGCCTTGATCTCCTCTTTAGGATGGTCGCAACTAACAAATCTAAAAATAAACATGACTAAAAAAGTGGCCTGTTTTAACATGATTCTATTTAAATATAAAAGGTTCTAAGGGGCGCTGTCTAAAGATAATCTATCATTATTTCTTTTTACTTAAAAGACATTTTAAGTAAAAATTCCTAGATCTTATAGTATCAATATACCAGCCAGCCACTTAAACTTGTACATCCTCCTGCTGGCGCGGCTGTAGCCAAGCTAGAGAGCAATGATCTCTCATGATTGGCTGTAGCTGTGAGTCGTGAGATAAGGGTATGGTTGCTAATCAGAATTCCGTTGCAAAGATTTGTGCAGAATTGCGCAGAAATAAGTAGATTTACATGGAATTAAAGGGCTCGCAATTGTGGGCAAGTTAAATCCACTTACGCTGGAAACCCAAGCTAAGTGACAAATGGAGAACTTAAGAGTGGTCGGTGAGACAGGTTTTATACGCATTGAAGCCAAATCAGTTTTTGACACAAAGAAAATCCTTCCCCATAGATAGAATAAGGATATTTCATTGTGTCAAATAACAACACTTTGTGCAATTTAAGAGCACCATAGTCCTTTGTACAATTTAAGAACACCAGTCCTTTTTGTAATTTAAGAGCACTATAGTCCTTTGTGTAATTTAAGAGCACCATAGTCCTTTGTGAAATTTAAGAACACCATAGTCCTTAGTGTAATTTAAGAGCACCATAGTCCTTTGTGCAATTTAAGAGCACCATAGTCCTTTGCGAAATTTAAGAACACCATAGTCCTTAGTGTAATTTAAGAGCACCATAGTCCTTTGTGCAATTTAAGAGCACCATAGTTTTTGGTACAATTTAAGAGCACCATAGTCCTTTGTGCAATTTAATAGCACCATAGTCCAAAAAAGATGTAAAAACCCTATTTACAAAGGCACTTTTTAAACCTTTGACTGATCACTGAGGAGTGATAACTTTATTTGTTTATCTCTAAAATTGTGTTCAAATTGCCTTTAAACTGAAGAATATGTGGGAACTCAACACAGCTATCATTATGAATATTCATTGAATAATTAAAAAACAAAGTGTTTAAAGCATTTCTGTAAATTATGAAGGATTTGTCTGACATCCTTTTGTTTGGGGGAGATGGATCAGTCAAAGGTTTAGGTTATTGTTTTGAATCAGATATGCAACTCTACAAATGAAGGATAATGACTTTGAATTACGCCTTTAGGAAACCAAGCTCTTTGTTTTAATCTAAGGCAACAGGTATAAAATAACAAGAAGGCCTTGACGTTAAAAGAAAAACTTATCTCTCAGAAATTTAATTTAAATTTCTCTAACTATTTCTTTTGTGGATTGATTTGAATTCAGATGATAAATCTTAAAAGGAGTGTTCGCGAAAAATGAAAGGGGGTATAGGCTTAATGCGATAAAAAGCGCCTTTGATCGCTACTAATCTTACTTCTATCTGTTGCGTCTATAAGGAGAAAATTGTTAAAAACGACTAAAACCGAAGAACGTAGTGTCCATACAAATTCAGAAAGATGCAAAATTCAACTCGGATCGTAAACAAATCAATTTAATTCCAAACAAATCATTCAGATATTACAAACAATAGTCATCGATTAATTGTCGACGCATTCGTAAATAGTTGATATTTCATATTATTTTGTATTTTTCATGATCCGAGAGTTACTTTTGAAAACATTTATTTCTGTTTCGAGGATTTTTGATAATGAAGACGACATTTTCATATTTTCCAGGAATGTTCGAAAATCTAGTGCCAGGGAAAATTATTCATATAAAAAACAAAATCAAAAATATTATGAAATATTAATTATATACAAATGCGTCGAAAAATAATCGATGACTATTGTTTAGTTTTTACTCATATTGAAGATTTATTTTTTACTCATATTAAAGATTTAGTTTTTACTCATATTAAAGATTTAGTTTTTACTCATAATGAAGATTTATTTTTTACTCATATTGAAGATTTATTTTTTACTCATATTGAAGATTTAGTTTTTACTCATATTGAAGATTTATTTTTTACTCATATTGAAGATTTAGTTTTTTACTCATATTGAAG